CCAAGTTTAGGGTTTGTTTGGTTTCAAGTAATTGGAAAGGGAATTATGAAACCTGTTGCTGTATTTCTTCAATTTCCCAGCAACCTTAAGGGTTTTTGGGTTCACACAAATAAGGTAATCCCTCATCCCATAATATAGTGCCCATTTCATTTATTTTACGTGGTCTTCAAGAAGTACCTTTAACCTTTAATATCTTTAATTGTGCAATCACAAAAATTATACTTCCTCTGTTCTTTTCTTATTGTACAATAGAGGTTAGGCACACTTTTTTTGGTATTGGGAAGAAGGAAGACAGAAAGGGTTAAAAATACAAAATTATCCATGTGATGTAAACATAAACTTAAGATTCAAGTTTAAAAGTAAAGGTATATTGGGTATTTGTAGTGTCAATAAAGATATTTTTGTTTCCAAAAATAGATATGGTGCAATATTTGTGAAACTTCCCTAAAAGGCAAGTGGTGCAATAATTAAAAAACGGAGCAAGTATTATAACACTACACATTGAGACGAATAGGACATCTCACATGATTATGTTTTTTTGTATGTTGTTAATGAGAATTTTTTATCCGAAGTTTTAAAGTTTGACTAAAAGGATTTTTTTAAAAAAAGGTGCTATATTATGGGTTGAAAGGGGTATAATTTATCGTTTTGGAATGGCTAAAACCTAGGCCAAGTGTTTGGTTTAGAAATTTTTTAATTTGTAAACCCATACCTCAAATCCACAAGGTATAGGGTTTTAGAAACCTGAGAGGATAGGTGGGTGTGGCTCCTGTACAAAACTAAACACATTGTTTGAAAAATCAAGTTTTCAAACCCTTGCCACCCCAATTTCATTTCTGATTCCAAACCCATGCCACCTTGTGAACCAAATGCCTCCTAGTAGAATTACCTTTACCCCTTATGTCTTATCCCTTACCAAAAGGGGGAGGGGTACTGTATGGATTCTCCTTGGCCATATGCAAATCCAGATCCCACCTTGCCATCCCCAATTATTTTCCCAATACCTCCACCAGGCGGCCAAATTTGCCAAGGTTCGTCTTTGTTATCCCTTATCCAGAGCAATCACCTCCTTTAAAGACTGCTTACAACCCACATTTGTTTCCTCGAGACAAGACCCTGTCAATTCAGTGATCTCGTCACCCAAGTTTACCACTTTAGACTACAGCCACACACCCTGCCCAACTCCACCTCTTTTAGTCTGCCTATTTAACTCCCAACACCACCTCTTAAGGCCAAATAAGTAGACCTGTGAAAATGAGGCCAAGTGTGCATGCCTTTTTCTCTCTTGCTGGTAAATGAAATATTTCTGTTTGATGGTCATATCATTCCTCAGTGGTCTAATCTGAACATCAATGTTAAGGCCTAGGCCCTTTGATATTCAATATTTGGAACTTGAGAGCGAATACTTTTCAGTAAGTGATACACTTGCCATTTGTTGAGAGAAGGCGTGGAATTGGAATTCACTTAGAAGTTGCAGTAAATGCAACAAAGACGGCTACAGCGAGGGTGGTGACACGATTAAAGGCTGCGGTTATAGATGAAAGCAGAGATAGATTGTTTGAAGATATATTTTGGGGCTGAGGGGACAGTTGTAGGAGTATCTACTTATGTGAACCATCATCCTAACAGTAAATAAAGAATAGAAACCCCGGGTTTGATATAATCATGTGGGATCTAGTCTAATTTTTTTTTGGACTGATTTGATGTTGAAAGAATAAATAGTAAGCAAAGAGATATATGTATAATAAGTGATGCATTCCTTCTGCTGATATTTTATATTTCCTTTCAAGCTTTCTTTATAATTATCTTTTCTTCTTGGGTTAATGAAGAACATCAATCCAATATACTGTTTTGCCCTTTATATAGACTTTTTTTTTTTTTTTTTTTTTTTTTTTTTTTTTTTTTTTGCCAACTTAGGTTTAGATTTTTTTTTTTTAAAAAAAAATAAATTCGAATATGTTGTTGCCTGAGAACATTCTAATCTGAGCATCTGACACAATCATGCAACCCGTCTGAGCTTAATCTTTCTAAAATTGTAAAACTTGCCTGTTTGTCAATTTGTGTAGAAAATATTTAGACGTTCGATTTACATTGTCAGCTGCTTGACTGATTTGCCTTGATGAGCAGCTTTCACTTTTCCCTAGATAACCTTTTAAAGTAGTAAAAAATTCTGTACTGAGTTTAGGTCAAAGTGGCTCTGTATTATTAAACCTCTTTATTTGTTTTTTTTTTTTCCCCAGTCAGGAGGCTCACATATGAACATTGACTTTAATCACCAGAGCGCTAACAAAATGCAGATGGAAAGGCCATCGTCTTGGCCACCTGTTTCTCGTGAAAACACGTCTGGGGCACAGCTTCCTGCACCATCTTTGGGTCCAGGACCACAGCCTGTTGGCAATCAGCCTCCTCGTCCACCTCCAGTAAGTCATTTGCAAGTTGCAACCTATGCATTTTACAGCTACCAAAGTTGTTGATTTTAGCATTAACCTGTAAATTCTTGAAGCTTGCACCTAGTAAATCATGTTTGGTTTTGCAGTTAACCCCTGAGGTAGAGCAGCAATTGCTTCAGCAAGTTATGAGTCTCACGCCAGAGCAGATTAATCTTTTGCCTCCAGAGCAAAGGCATCAAGTCCTTCAGTTGCAGCAGATGCTTCGGCAATGACTTGGACTAATCTACATGTGGGTTTTCAGGTTTTGCCCAATTATACAAGTAATGGTAAAATATATGGCTAATGTAACTTATGTAATCCATGTTAGTCTTTGATGAAGATTGTTTTACTAGTTTTGCTTAGCTATAGGACTTTCTATTGACCTTTTTCCAATTTAAAATGAAGCCTAAAGTTTGCTTCAATTTTGAACTCTTGGCTACCAGTTTAGCTCAAGATTAAGCTCTAGCTTTCAAGACTCTTGATAACCTCACTCAAGTTTTAAGCTCTAACATACTGCAGGGGCGAAACGTTTTAACTAAAAATAAACAAAGGAAAGAGTGTATTTTATTGTTTTATTGAAAAGTATGACCTTAACAAAGATAAATAAGCAAATACATCAAATAAAATTAGTAAATTGAAGAAATAAAAGACTACATTTGACCTTAACATAGATCTGCGAGCGAATTAATTGATCGCTAATCGTTATGTTTCAGATTTGTAGTCATAAAGATGATCAATAAGTTCATCTATATATTTGTCGTGCAAGCTTTCATTAGCAATAATTGGACTATATTTCTTAGCTTCATTTCTGTACATCTTACCAGCTTCATCCTGGAGCACCAATGCAAGTGACTGAGCCACTGAGTTTCTAGTAAATGACCCATCTTCTTTATTCCTTGGTATTTCTATTCCAACTCTTTTCTCCTCCAAAAATCTTGCATTTATCCCTTGATCCAGCATCAATGGAAGCATTATTGATGGCTTTCCGAACATAAGTGTCTCGATGGTAGAGCTAAACCCAGCATGTGTCAAGAACCCTCCCACTGAATCATGTTGCAGTATTTTGAGCTGAGGTGCCCAGCTCGTCCAAACCAACCCACGATCTCGAGTACGCTCCACAAACCCATCAGGCAATTCCACAGAAGAACCAACTGATCTCCGAAGTGCCCATAAGAAAGGCAACTTAGATAGCTCCAAACCAAGTGCCAACTCGGTGAGCTGTTCTTGACTTACTTCAACCTCACTCCCTAGAGCTACATACACCACTGAACCACTTCTTTGTTTCTCAAGCCAACCGAAGATTGAGTTCTGTGCATCCTCATTTTCGCTGCTTTCCTCCATAGAGGGTGGTAGCAGCCCCACAGGAAGCACTGGTTTCTCAGCAATAAGTTCATCTACAAGTTGAAGGTATTTAGCTTCGAGCTCCAAGCAACCGCGTACAACGACCAAATCACTGCTGTTACAGACAGTCTTAAAACGGAATAAATCAGAAACACCTGAAGAAGTCTTTGCTGTTAAGTTCTTGAGAAATATCCTTGCTTCATTAGGTAGAAAGTAGACGGTGCTTTTCGGAAAAGGGATCCATGGTGGAAACTCAGCATTGGTAAGTGAATCAGCAGCAGGACCATTATCCTGACTTTATGGACCTAAGATTGTAAGCATTCTTAGACCTAATATGGAGAAGAAGGCTTTTCGAATTCCGAGTTTTTCCGCAATAGGAGGTAGCCAGTAACAACTGAAATCATAGATGATCCAGTCTAATGAATTAAGTAGTAACAGAATTTTCTAGAAAATGCTTCATAGGTTCTTGTAAACCGTCATAGGTCTTCTTTAGAAGATCGAACCCCGTACTAAAGCCTACGTCAGTTGTGGCTTCAGCATTTGGTGGTAAGTTTTCAACTCGAGGCAAGGGAAGAGGGACTAGAGTGATCAAAGGGGCTATGTTTTTAGGGATGTTTGGAAGGCGTTCGAGGTTTCGAGGGGTTGAAACAAAGAAAATATGGTGTCCCTTTGTAGCTAAGCGTTTGGAGAGCTCTAGGAAAGGTAGCATGTGACCAAATGCTAGCCATGGGAACATAACTATGTTGAGCTTATTGTCTTCCATGATTTTTGTAAGAGCGATTTCAGATTTCTGTATTGTTTTTTAGTCTTTACCTCAAATATATAAATACAATGCAAGTAATCATTAGCTTATCATTCATTTTTGGAGGTCAACGACTGATGTTACTATCACCGTATTCTATTTAATATACATGACAATTAGTTTAAAATAGATAAAACATTATTATAAGGAGTGATCATGTCCATATAAATAGTTTAATTTTGGGGCGAGTAATATAATATATATGGGGGTAAGATTAAATACTTATTTGAAGTTTTGAACAATGCCACAATTGCTTGTATGCACGTTGTAATATACGGAGTTATATTCTACCTGACGTTGTTGCCTTGTTGCTAATATTTAGTTTAAACTATGAAAATTTTGGCCGTAAGTTCTCTTTAATCTTCAAAAGATAACATAGTCACGTGGAATTTTGTTAAATTTGTCTTAATGTACAATTTATTAATATCTCAATCCATAGTAAACCCTTCTGGGTTTTGCAATGAGCATTATTTCTAATTTTGAATCAAAATGAAACATACAGCTTAAGAAGGCTAATTTTCTGTCAGATAAATATTGTACTAGATCAGGTACTGGAAGAAACAGAAAACAAATGAAGTTTATCTTATGAACCAAATCAAGTTGATGCTGCTTTCTTCTTAGGCTTTTTCTTTTTCTGCCTTCTCTTGTTATGAAATTTTGGCTTCTTTGTGATCTGTAAAGGACGTTTGCCCTTGGTAATTCTAGTATTTAGTATTGATGTATCCTTGACTTTCAGAGAGTGCTCCTTCTTGGGCGGAAAAACCTCGGTTATTGAAGGATCCAACACATCTCTTGAGCATTGTAGAGCAATACCCATTCTCTCTGCCTCATCCCAAAGCTCTTTGCCCTTCTCAAATTCACCACACTTACAAAATTTTGGAATCAAAACATCATACACCGGACCATAATCACTAGCTGAGCTTTTCTTCATGCGACCAAACAGCTCCAATGCATAGTTTACTCTCTCAACCCCACAAAGAACACCAACTAGGTCATGATAAAACTTTGCTGGTGGCTCGAGCCCATCTTCTTCCATCAATTCCAGTATCTGATTACCTTTTCCAAACCTTCCTGTCAAGTATAACACCCGAATTATAAGATAATAGGTCGCCCAATCAGGAGCACAGCCTGATTTCCTCATCAAATCAAAGATTCTGAGAGACTCCTTTACTCTTCTTGTTCTACCCAAACAAGAAAGCAACACATTGTAACTTATTGAATTTGGAACGATCTTGTATGTTTTCATTTCCATGAACACGTTAAGAGCTTCTGGCACTAGCCCAGACGGGTTTTTCTTAAGCTTATGCTCACAAAGGCACCTTAGGTACGTGTTGAAGCAATAAAGATCCAGAGTAATTTTCTTCGACTTCATCTCCTGGAGAAGTCTGCGAGTCTCCTTCACATTCCCCTGCACAGACCAACCATATAATATACTCCTATAAACACAAGACTCTGCACCAGATATCTTATCCTTGTGATGATACACAACCCCTTCTGCCCTTCTTGCATGCCCTTTTGCACAAAGCGCGTTTACAATAGCAGTGACAGTGATTCTGTCCTGTGGACACTTGAACAGGTCCAGATTTTTAAAGATGCCCAATGCATCATCTTCTCTCCCCATCTTAACAAATATTTCAGCCACAGTTCCGAAAGTCTGAGCTTCCAAAACCCTCTGATCCTTACGAAGATCTGCCAGCAAAATATCAACTGCCCTATGATCCTTCTTCTCAGCAAAAACCCGAATGGCATGGTTATAGTCCTTATCCCCCAAAGCCGAACCCAAACTCTTGCATGACCATGTGAAGAAACGAAGCAACCGCCTCGTGGATGCTTCCTCTTTACAATGATTCACCACTTCCACTACAATTGAAGGGGTTATGTTTACTTCACATTTCTCAAGACTCAATTCCAATTCATTTAGGCCACCGATTGGAGTCGAAACAAGGCTGCATAGCTGTTGAAACCCAGGAAGCTTTTGTAGAGCAGTAGTAGGGGGAGGTGTTACCAATGTGGTATACAGAGGAAAACAAAAGCCTTTCAGCTTGTGGGTATATATTCTATTTAGCATAACGTTCTCTTACGCAATTCATCGAACACTTGGTGAGCAACAGAAATATACGCAAATTCAGGCATTAGAGTAAAAAGACCTCAAATTCCAAATTATTGCTGAAGATTGGTTGGCATAAATTACAATAAAAATCGCATGTTTTTACAATTATACGAGATTGAATTTGGAGCTGAAATGAAAATAACGTGATTATCTGAGGTTTGATGGGTCGAATTTGAGAAGAGCAGGAACTTTGCAATTAAGAATTTGATGATATACGAGATAGCTCTAAATCTCTAATTATGTACTTCGTATTTATGTTAGAGATGGATGGTGACCATTTCAAGTTATGAAGAATTGGACTTCTGGAAGATTGTAATTTGTAAGAAGAGCAAACTGGGTTGGTTATACTCTGATAAAATGAGCATGTGTGTTAGAGTTGATCAACATGGGCATGGCCAAATCTGACTAAAAATTGGGCGGGTTTGGACAAATCTAAAAACGCATTTTTAATTAAAATCCGAACCCGGCTTAAAAAAGACTAAAAGTCTATTTTGGCCCGACAAGCCCGTTACTTTTTGCGGGTTTGGGTATGAGATATGATGCTGAGGCCTAGCACAACCCGATTTTTTTTCACCTCTAGTATATACTCGTACTCGTTAGTCATATGACTCGTATCCAATAAAAATCAAATCCTACACTTGAGAGCATGGTGTAAATATAACTTAGATATATTGTTGGGCTATTTGACCAATAATTAGAGATTTTATAGAAGGATATATGCACATATTCTTAGGTGCACACTCATGCACCTAGAAATAGGTGTAACAACAACACAATATGAACATTAGATTTTCAGAAAGTGAACATTAGGTTTCTTCCCTTTATTTTTCTCCTTCATTTTTTTATTTTCTCTCTCCTCTGTTTTTTTTTTTAATTTTCCCCCTTTTTTACACTTTTTTTATTGAATTTGTTTCTTACAACATGAAAGTAGTTATTAAGTGTGAATTTTGATTTTGTGCCTTGATTTCGATTGATTAAGGTATATATGAATCTTTGAATTTACAAATCATACTCTATTTTTTCTCCTTCCTTCTTTAATTCCTTTTTCCTCTTTTTTTTGTTTTTTCTATTTTTCTCGTTTTTTCGATTTAACGATTGAATATGTTACTTACAATATGGAATTGGTTGTTTATTTGATTTTTTGAATTCATATATTGTTTTTTTTTTAGCTTCGATCAATTTCATTTGTGTATGAATTTCATTTGATTTTCTGCATTTTTTTTTATCAATGAACATAATCATGCAAAATATGAACATATGCATAGGTTCCCTTAAATGTGAACATCAGCTTTTCAGAAAGTGAACATAAGCATAAAACATATGAACATATGCATTTAAGAAAGTAAACATAACAATTCAAAATATGAACGTAAGCATTGATTTCCTTAAAGTGAATATAACCATTTAAAAGGTGAACATATGTGTAAAAAAATATGACCATATGCATTTAAGAGAGAGAAGATATGCATAAACAGACTTAATGAGAACAACAAATATTTTCTATGAATATTTATATTATGAACATATAAAATATTATTATGAATATAAGGCATTTTATTATGAACATAAAAAATTGAAGAAATAAAAATAATATGATTATGAAACATATGCATCATAATTCATAAGTATTAAAAATATGAACATATGAATTCAAAATAGGAACATATGCATTAGTTCATTTTGAATGCGTATGAACATAATTAAGCATTTCAGAAGGTGAACATATACATAAAAAAATATGAACATATGAATATAAGCATTTCAGAAAGTTTACAAGCGGATTCAAAATATGAACATAAGAATTCAAAATATAAACATATGCATTTCGAAATGTGAACATAAAATATCCGTTTGATTTCACTAATTTTTTTGCCAATTCCAGTAATAAATTTCGAACAATATTCAAACAAAATTAAGTGATAATCATATAAATTCAAACAAAATTAAGTGAAATTTACATAAAATTGCCTTTTTGGGGAGGATCCTTTTGATTTTGCATCTCTTTCCTAATGTCCATTGAAGTTTTTGCAGTTTTTTAGTGAAAGAATGAAATAGAGGAGAGAGAAAGTGAAAAAGAGGAGAGAGAAAATCATATAGAAGAAGAAGATTTTTGAGTTTGGAAATGACGTTACATTTATTAGGTGTGGGTGGGTTTATTGGGTGTGGGTGGGTGTATTGCAGTTTTCGTGTTTTTTAGTTTTAGGGCTTTTTTTAATTGGGTTGTGTGTGATTAGACTTGTGCACCTTAGAGTAATTGGGATATATGTGTTAATATAAGTAGGTGTTAACTAAAATGTTTGACACGGTGTCAGTAACCATTATAAATAACGTTGATTCATGTCTTCTTAACCAAAATGCGGATAGTTCAAAGGAATGTCTCTATGTTTGTGAAACGTGGAGGTGTGCGGAATGATACCAGCATCGATATGGATCAGGTAAGTTAGTCGAGCCTTAACATCTAGGTTATTTCCAATACAGGCTTATACCCATATCAGCCTATTTCTCCAGCCACGTGAAGACCTACTTCCAGCCATGTGGACACTTACCACCCACTTGACAAGATACCTACGTAGACCGACATGTAGCACCAACTTGAAAATTTATAAATAGTCAAGCATATTTCACTTCTAAAATGCGAATTTCTTAACCTAAACGCACTTAAACCACCCTTTTTATTCATATCATCTAGTTCAATATTCGGATCACAGCCGAAACTGGAGGCCGAGGAGGGTATGAACACATCTACATGTGCACAATACTCACTACACCGTGCACACCCAAAGAAAACAAAACAACGATACTTAGTAGTTAACCCTTAAGAGTTAAGACCGCAAAAATCATACAAATACTCTAAAACAAAATAGCTGTCGATCATAAAACAAGATAAAGAAAGTTCCTTTGTATAAAACAGTGTTGAAAAAGTTACATTTTTGCCATTGCCAAGATCATCCCCAATACTAAATAATTGTTGCAAATTCCCGGATCTCTCCTTTTCGAAAAATCAAATTACAACCTTCGATCACCGGCATCAATTTCCGATCAATTTTCCGGTAACCGTCTTCTTTCCCCCTAATTGTTTAGTTAATTTTTTCTTTAATCGAACTCAATTGATTAATCTAGGGTTTTGATTACGAATTGAATTTGATGTTCATCGAATTTCCCTTTATTTTGTTGGAATTAGGTTACAGAGCGAACGAATTCCAGAATTAGTCATCAAAGAAGAAATTCGGAAAAATGAGTCAGGTTTTTGAAGGGTACGAGCGTCAATATTGTGAAACTTCAGCGAATTTGACTCGGAAATGTTCTGCTGCTGCTGCTCTCAATGGAGGTGATTCCTAATTTTTCTGAATTTCTTTATTGTTTTGCTGAATCAATTTGTATTATAATGGCGGCAAATTCTTTGTTTATGTAGAATGAGGGTTTCAGTTATAATTAAGTGGGTGAAAAGAAATAGTTTGAATGATTAAATGGTTTGTGATTTCATAATTTGGAATAATCGTCTTGGGTTAATTCCTAGAGGTTGATTGAACTCAGATGATTTGGAGGGGAGTTGGGTCGAAATCGTTAGAATAGGAATTGATCATGGCAGCATTGTATACCCTCCCTTTTTCAGAAAGGACTCATAAGTTGAGGAACATCGAATACTCGAGTGTGGAAGACAATACTCCTAATTATTGAATCTATCATCATTCTTAGCATGGCCATTTTCTAGGTTGGAGTTGTTTTGCTAGCTTTGCTTGCTTATTGTAGTTGGACTGGGGCTGGGGAAAGTGGGCATATTGACCCCTTTAGCTTCGGGAGAATAGGAGGTGATGTTGGTAGGACTTCCCTATAGGTGTGATGCAGGACTGTAGGAGCAAAGGGTCTACTCAAAATTACATATCTTAATGAGATTTTAATCATCTTGTATATCAAAGCTGTGATGGGTATACTTAGTGATTTCAAGTTGTTTTTGGGTTTTGAGAAATGGTATTAGTAGTATGGTAAGTATTTCCTTAGGAGTTCTAATATTTCAATTGTTTTAGAGATAAATTCTACAGGTTACTATTGAGCTTGCCAATTTAAGGGTAATTGTATTTATTATCGTGTGAGTCTTAATGCTTATTTTTTAAGGTTTCAAGAGCGAATAATAAACCCTTTTTCTTGGTGCTTGTGCGCTTCAAAATCCTCCAAACTTGCATCTAGGGATCTAATTTTTATTTGGTCTGTTTTGATCAAGACTTGACCCACCTGTTTATCTGGTGGCATAAACATTTGAAGAAACAAGTTTCATTGGTTCTACATACCAAAGTAAGGGGGTATTTATGGTGTTATTTGAGAAAAGGACTATGTTTTCTGTGTTACAATCAATTTGATCCTTGATGTATATTGCTTGATGGAAAGTACTGAGTGATGGGAGCACTTTTTAGTTCTAATATAGAGGGCTTGGAGTTAATAATGATGTAAAATACAATTTTAGGGGATACGTATTCCTCAGTGTCACAGGGGTGTGGGTCAGTCAAGCTGGGGAAGCCCATCCGCAAGCTTACCCCAGCGACAACAAATATCAAGATTTTGTTTCTGTTGGAGTAGTTGGATGATTGGAAGGTTATTGGTCAACTTTTTTTCATGGGACATAAAGTATAGTTTATTAAGATGCATTATTTTGACATTTTTGATCCAATGATCCGAGGACGGAATTTAATCTTTTTTTTAGAGATATATCCATTGTTTTTCTGCAAACTGTTTTCCTCATCTGGCAACTTGATAGCAGTCTCTACTAGACAAATTTTGATTTCACTTTGACTAGTGAGTGTAGTTGGAGGCTGGAGTTTCGCAACCTGAAAACCTCTGCTAGTCTGCATACTTAGACAGAATTATCTACTGCTTTACATTAATTAAAACAAACTTTTACATTCCTCAAGATGTTGTATGACACTTCTCTTTGCTAATCATATTTTTTTAATTGAATCATAATTCGTTGGTGTGGCTATTTTCTTTTTTTTTTTTTGTTTTCTAATTTATCCAGTGCTGCTTTGCAGAACAGAAGAAACAGAAAGTCTCTGAAATTAAAAGTGGGTTGGAGGAAGCAGAAGCACTGGTATTGTATAAGATCTTTTCTGTTGCAATTTTTCTTGATCAACATTAATCTTAGGTCATATCTTTGCAAGTTGTGGTTACAAATGTGTTTGTTCTTAACGTATTCAGATCCGGAAAATGGACCTGGAGGCAAGAGCATTGCAGCCGAATGTGAAAGCTATGGTACTAACCAAGCTTAGAGAGTATAAAAATGACCTAAGCAACCTGAAATCTGAGATCAAAAGACTCTCTTCTACAGACAGTCAAGCTGCCCGAGATGCGTTACTGGAATCTGGCATGGCTGATGCGCTGATGGTTAGTGTTGTATAATTTGTATGGCAAACAACTCTAATCAATTACTTGACTTATTATATGTTTTTTCATTCAAAAATTTAAGAGAAACTTGTGAATTGTTTGTAAATTATAATGTATATATATTATTAAACGTGATTGCTTTCAACAGATATTTAACCTTTTTGTTTGTAAATTGTTTGTCAAACCTGAATCTTGCTGACCATTTAACCTTTTTGTGTTTGTTTATACGCGGTACAGGCTTCTGCTGATCAAAGAGGGCGGCTATTGATTTCAACAGAGAGATTGAATCAGTCCACTGATAGAGTCAGGCAGAGCAGAATGACCATGCAGGAAACTGAAGCTATTGGGGTTTCTATACTTGAAGATTTGCATTCACAACGCCAGTCACTTTTGCATGCTCATAATACAGTAAGCAGTGCTTCCTTTTCAGTGACATGTATCTTTTTTATTTCCTTGGAAACCCCTAAACATTGAAGTTAATCTTCAGGTTTTGCATTCATTTTGAGGTTTTTGTCAAGCCTGTTTGCTAATCAAATTTTCTGCTAATTATTGTACCCAGCTTCATGGCGTTGACGAGAATGTTGGCAGAAGCAAGAAAATTCTGACTGCAATGTCAAGGAGAATGAACCGGAACAAATGGATTATTGGTACTATCATCGCAGTACTGGTCCTTGTGGTTGTGTTGATCATCTACTTCAAGTTGATCCATTAGTTTGTCAACTATGTCTTCAAAGATATATAGTTTTTGGCAACTCGCCTTGTTGGCAGTCTGATGTCCATGATCTTCAGTGTGATTAATCATTGTATCGTTTTGCTGTTGCTAAGTTTCTTTGTTCGTCGATTCATATTATGTTATGCCACTTCACATTCTTTTGGCCAAGTTTAATATAGCCTGGTGTGTCAATGTTTGCCCTTAAGTCCCATCTTTGTCAATCATCAGCTATTGTGTAAAGGTTTGCACTTGAAATTTTTGTTTTGGAGTTCACAAATACTTCAAGTACTTCTACTTTGTTTTACTGTAATTTATTTTCCTAAACATACTAATTTGGTTAATTGCCTCAAGGTTGAAGTCATTAGACTACGCAGAAATCCAAAGATGAATATATACTTCCTGTGTCAACTGAAATTAACATGCTGCTTAAAAATGATATGGGCGGAGAACATGTGAAAAATTACAAAGATATGTGTTAATCTTATTTGAGCTAATATGGTTCTGCTAACAACTTTAAGAAATAATACCAGGATAGCCTAAATGAACGTGTTAATCTTATTTCTTTCTCATGTATAACTCATTAAAGAAAGGGAGCTAATAAAAAAAAATTCAGTTAATATCTATTAATTACGGAATGCTTAAATTAACATAGACTACTATTTTAACCGAGAATAATTTTCCTGTCAAAATGAAAAACGAAAACAAAAACAAAACAAATCAAACAAACAATCCTTTATCGAACATAGACTATATATGTTGTGCTAAGCGAGGGTAAGAATTTGCCCAAAGGCAAGCTTATCAAGTATAGAGGATAACTTCCACAGGTCCTATTTCGAGACCTTTTCCCACAGGTCCTGTTTCGAGACCTTAAAGATGTACTGAACTCATACTCATCAAACCAAGATGGTTAACTAAAGATAGTAGATAACGCTGTGCATTTCAACTAGCCTGAAAAGAGAAAAAGGATATACAAATGCGGTTGAGGTGCAATTACAAACCAACTAAATTGAGTCAAGCAGATCTCCAAGTTCTCTGGCAGGCCACGCCCTGCACAAGTAAGATGCACATCAAGAAGGCACCACCTGATTTAAGTATAAACATAGACTGAAATTAACAGGTTTCACAACAATTATGACATGATAAGAATGAAGTTAAATTCTTCAGCTTTTCTATAGATACATCTGATCACTATGCGCCTCTTTACAATAATGGGTAAAACATGAAGGAAAAATAAATAAAGAAAAACCCTTCATTTAACCAATAAAGTTGGATTCCCAACTTCACGCGGCAGCACTTGCGGAATGAAGGATAAAGATGATCCATATAAATGCCTTGTGAACCACCCACATCCAGATGAAAGCTTCAGGCAGCTCCCTCTAAAAGGAGCTTCATGGGACAGCAGATGTTGGAGATGAAAATTTCCCATGATTGCATAAATCACCCCACAACAGAGATGCTTACAAAGTCGAAGGTACAGGCCTGCAAGCTCTAGAGAGCAATATCAAATCCATGCCATATTTTTTTCGTTAAGGACATGAAAAATGGAGCTCAGACAGATTTGGAAAAAAACAATTATGGCGGCAACAGCAGTGATCCATCAGAAAAATGGTTTTCCTCAAATATGTAGTCAAGAAGTGTCATCTTCTGGAGATGAATTAGGATCCTCTTCATCCTCCTCATAAAGGTCAGGAGATGGATCTCCATTAAGATCTACAGTCACGCCATTCACCTTCCTCACGAACTGCCCACGTACACGTGGCCTTCTCTCAGCAAGCTTTTTGCGATTCACATACCTTATTTTTTTATCAAAACACCGCTCCTTCCTTTTCTGCCTAAATTTGATCAGAGCTGCCTCTCTCCTGTCAACTTTGCTTAATTTTGTTTCACTAGAAGGTAAATTACCAAATGATGTCACTTGGTGGTTAGCAGGTGACTGACCCTGTGGCAAGCATACACTCATTGGGTAATAAGAAAATGGTGTCATCCCAGCTACATGCGATGGACAATGTGAAAGGTGGTTATAATGAGGCATCATAGTTGATTGCCCATGATTTTGAAGATCCTTCTGTTGTGTATGTGCTGATGATGGCATCATAAACTGGTTCATGACTCCGGGCATGAAGTAAGGATAAGCAGTATGTGCTGCCAAAGTTGAGGTATCAAACTGCATCCCATTTTTCGGCTGCATGTGCACCTCGGACAAGCCTTCATCATTAGATTTATTTCGCATTAATTCCATAGTCACAGGAGGGGTGCACGACCTTTCCATGGAAGTGGAATCAGGTACACTAGTACTGCTGGGGAAGTCTTCTCCATGTGAGTTATTTTCCCACACGTCAACATTTTCACATCTCATACTGCCATTGATTACATGCCCATTCCAAGTATCTGTTTTATCATCTGGTCTGGAAGTTTGAGCAGCATTAGCTTCAACATCAACAATTGTTCGACAATTGCTCTCAACTGCGCCAGATTTGACGTAAGTGAAGAATGCAGAACATTCACCGATCTTCAGCTCACTCTTCTTAGGAAAAAGGTCACTCTTTCTCAAAAATGGCTCACTCTTTTTGGAAAATGGCACAAAACCTGACCAAACATAAAGATTCTCAAGATGATCACCACAGACAAATGACAAAAAAGACTTGCACACTTGACCAAAAAAAAAAAAACAAAAAATTGTACATCTGTAACAAATCTGATTTAGTTTTTGAATTCTCAACCCCTTTATATTAAACAACACTCACTTGAACGACCAACAGCATATCTGTAATTCAGAAACTACAGCATTGTTCACTGAAAGGGAAAAAAAAACAAAAACCTACGAAGTAAGTTTTAATTGAGTCACATGGGATTCTATATATGTTCTGGAGTCATATTTCAATGTCAGTAATTACAAGACTTAGAATAGCAGCACATTTAAACTAAAACCAGAGTGGAAACAAAGCTCATGAATAACCATAAGAAAGAAAGAAAGAAATATAAATGCAAAGCAGCTTGCCTCTCCGGCGCTCACTTGGAGCTGGTATAGCAGATCGACAGTCAAATATATTTGCAGGCACAGCATCAGAAGTGACTTTGTTACACTGCATAAACAGGAGGGAAAAAAAATGAGGAAAACAGGAGCAGTAAACTGGAGAAGGAAGAAGTGAGGCAAGATGTGAGCTTCAAGGGTAAATTAAAAGCATATCATACTCCCTAACACCCTTCGTTACATAATGTTCAACTCACATTCTGTTTTGCTGTGTTTTAGAAAGTTCATCTCACTTTTACTCCCCCCCCCCCCCCCCTTTTACCCCACAATATATACACATTTCCACTCACTTCACTATCTCCTACTGTTACCAACTTTTTTTTTTACATTAACCCTCCTTGTTACTCCAACTCTCTTGCTATTAACACTTTAACTTAACCCACTTACTATTTCCAAGTTTTCTAGGAGCTAAGAGTCTACTATAAGTGAGTCAAACATTATGAAATAGACAAAGCATAATTACAAAGAGGAGAATTAGTACTTCATGTGAGTTAAACATAATAAAATGGAGGGAGTTTAATCCCCCAGAGAGAGAGAGAGAGAGAAATAGAGAGATTTATGCAAAATAAACAAATTCATAAATAGAAAATTTTTTAATAATCACAGAGAGGACAATTTGTCCTCCATGCAAGTCATAAGAACAGTTTGTCACTTATGAACAACATTACATAAAATTCATTTCATAAAAACTAGAAAAGCCACAAGACCAAAGCCAAGAATACTTCAACTCACAGCATATAAATATTATGTCATTCCTAAATATCCATAACATAACCCCACAAGCCTGATGCCAAAATGTTTTTCTCTCATTTAAAGAGGATACATTTAATTCACACCATTCTCAGAGTAAAATAAAATATAAAACAAAAATTGAGTCATGTCACAATGCAAACATAGACTGCTTCCATCCTCTCTACCCTCGAACATGTAAAACACCGAAAGAATTAAGTGTTTACACTTGGCAAGATGAATTGACAAAATTAAAGAGTTAGATTAGGCAGTAACATTTGTGCTTATACAAGAAATTACAAATAAAAACTCACTTGAAAATTGAAGAGCCCTCTTACACAAACACTTAGATCAGAATTTTTATTTTGATCAGAAATTATTAATATATTTCGTATAAACAATCAAGAACCCATAAACAGTCAGTTTCATCATTTTACAAGATTCTCATCTAAAGTGTAAAATCCAGGATTGTGACCATCCACCTTTGTCATTAACCAAGGTAAATATCCGATTTATTCCACTAAAGTTCATAACTTGTTTCAGTCACTATGTGCCAAAGACCATATTTAAGTCACAAACCCCAAAAACCAAACCCCTTCAAATTTACACACACAAGGTCTCATGCCCAGTACATATTCTCCCCTCTCGGTCTCTCCTTCTAATCCAGTGTTATAATAAAACAACATAAATTTTTGTACATAAAATCACTAAAGGATGTAGCTTGGTACTCCGTAAATAGTTTGTTAAACTAGTATTTGCAATTTCAAGCATGGTTTTTTTTTTCATTTTGTCAGGAGAGGGGACAGAATAAATTTGTACCACGCAAAAGAACCAATATCTAATGCATTACAGAAAGGTAGCACAACAATCATTTCATAATAGCAAGATAGAGGCCAAAAAATCAGTTGTTCCCAATAATCCTTCCCATCCTCCAAACAAAAACAAACTAAAAGGCTGCAAATAGTAGCTTGCAGTGCGCATTTGTGTTTCTTGCATATACAACATTATAATTTGTTATTGACAGTTGACATTGTTGGACATGCCAAACAAATTTATCCAATGAGACTTCCCAGGCTTCTCAATCACTAGTTAGAACTAGTTTTTATTGTATTCTAGGAATTCACACTTCATGCAAGAAAATATTCAATAGGCACTGAGAATTAATAGGATTATTTAAACAAAAACAAAGCACAAATAAAGAAAAGCTCAAACTGATAAAAATGGCTTGCCCTGATCAAGGACAAAAGCAGAGGAGTACATGTAAAAATCCTCTTAACACAAATAAAAATCTCAGGTGAAATGTTATGCCTGCCTAAACACTGACCTCCTCCTCCTGTTGTATTGCAATGCTCATTTCTGGATTAACACTTCTCCGGGACTTATCATCTGTGTCATCGGAGAACAGTGTTGTGCTGTTAGTATTAGCATCACTGGGATCTGACGCAGCTATTTCGAGGTCATAACTCACGATATTCTTCTCCGCAAGGCCAAGCTGTCAATATAGTAAGGAGCCCAAATAATTAGATGTCTCTTAATGATAAAAAATATTCCTCGGTTGGAAAATGAAGCATGAGCAGACTGAGGTTTCTAAATTTCACAAGCAAAGAACAATTATTTCATCTCAAATATATTTATAGGGTGTAACTACATAGGATCACACAAAATCACTTACAAGCAATTTGGCATGTAAATCACTAACAATCACAAAATCACTAACACTTACCATTCGTCGCCTCCTCCACATGTGAGTCCACAAGTTTAACAGCTCATTCGTCCGTAATGGCTTCACAAGGAAGTCTGCTGCTCCCAGCCTCAAGCACTGCACAACAAGAGTAACTTCGTCTTGTGTTGACATCACTAACAAAAAGATGAAGTATAAAAATAAATAACAAATTTATAATTAAGTTACAAACAAAAAAAATGGAAATAGCGGCAAACATACTAATCACAGGTATTCGTTGCAACTGTTTGTCCCGCATTATGTACTTTAACAGCTTGAACCCCTTTTTTGTAGGAAGATCAACCTCAGAAAGTATAATATCAATGTCAGAACTCTCTGCATTAAGCGCATCAACAACCTGCCTAGCAGACTTGACTGATGTCACTGTAGCATACAAACACGCATAGAAACAAGTAAATTCATTGGTGAAAAGACAGAAGATCGTTAAATATATGCAAACAAGAAAACTAGGCCTCCCCACATGGGCCACATCTACACAATTACTTCCATTAAAGAATGGAAGCCACACAAATTAAAAGGAAAAAGTGCAAAAATGCAAGACCATTACCTCACAATAATTAATTAAAAGTAAAACAAAGAGATAAATATACCGAATTGGCATGTAGCTTAACAAGTTATCAAATTCCGTCAGATGATACTTGACATGTCAGCAAATACAAAGGCAATCCACATTTGTTGATAGGACTCTTAAGTCTTAGTCTAGTATTACCGGTATTAATGACCATCCAAATATTATGAATAAGCTTTCTTTGATTGCAAGCTGCATCATCCTTAATCTACCCTTTACTTACTTAGACCTCACGTTAAGGGATAGTCCAAAGGAATGGGTTTAGGAATTGGATGTAGAAAAGGTGGCTTGGAAGCTAGATGGATGGGAGATGGCAATAAGAGAGAGTGAGAGACAGTTAGAACACGACGTTTTACTAAAAATATCACCTCCATAATTTGTCAAATTAGTCACAAGTCAATGGCAGGTCCATGAAGGACCAAAGCTGGTTGACTGTTCATAACATTAAAAATCAACTAAAAACATGACAAGTATTCCAAAAACAATACATCATATGCAAACCGCTTACAGAGGAGAAACAGATAATTACAGTGCAAAACTGAACCTCCCCTGAATTTAGTGAGTTACATACAAGGTATGACAAAAAAAAAAAAAAAAAAAAAAAAAACACCATCACTCACCTTAGTCACTCGTCAGTAATTTATTTTGGTATTACAAGAACCAAGTTATCCGATAGTCCCAGCATAAACTTTCTTTATATCTCACCGTAAATATTGAAATTTTTGGTCATGTCAGGTGCAAACATTAAGTAGCCCAAGGAGTGAGATGATATAGCTTTCCAAAAAAACAAACATGTAGCTAAACCAACTATGAAGTATGAACACTCTTTTAGTACCATGATTTAGGAGAAGCTTGACAGCCTTAACTATCTTCAATTCATTGAGCATCTTTCAATAGAAAAAACTCAAATCCGCACAAACCACAAACTAAATGGGAAACTTAGAACCAATAACCACCTTTGCAACCCCTCAATCATATGAAGTACCCTCCTATCACCAAATTCAGTCTCATCTAACCACATAATTGATAACCTTAAAATTACTCCACAAGCTCGGTTTTCCAACATTCAGCATATCTCTGATCCATCGGGCATCTTTCAATATTTAAAATTCAAATCCGCAAAAACCACTAACTAAATGGAAAACCTAAAACCTTATTGCAACCCTTCAATCATAGAAGTACCCTTCCTATCATCATTTATCACCTTTACATTACTCCACAAACTCGAATTTCCATAATTCAGCATGACTTCTCAACACTCTATCATTACAATATCAGTTTAAAGTACACCTAATCCCACAACAGCATTTTTTGCCTAACCAAACATTAACATGTCCTTTTTCATGTCAGTACTCTAATTTCTGTAAAAAGTACTACATCCGTCCAGAAATTATAGTTACATATACTATTTTAAGATGTCCGTAAAAAATTTTACTCCGTACAATCATACAATTACTTCAAAAAGATCTCAAAGGTACAATCATACAATTATAGTTTACTACAGGATTTCATAGAAATCGAAATCATTGCTAATCCTTAATTATGAGGGGTCGGAACAATATAAGAACTATTTCTACAACTAGAACAGTACAGGACTATATGTAAATGGGTAATGATATATACAGTCCAAGTTGAAAATTCATGACAAAATGACGCGTAAATTAGTATGATTAATGTTAATCTATCCATAATATTTCCTTTTTTAGCTCCTTCTCCTTATACATGGCCCTAACAGGTTTATCATTTTCCTATGTAAATTAGACAATCTTAAAGTACTAAAAATATCATAGAAAAATATCCAACATAAATATCTAACAGATATTTCCAAAATAAAAGTACAATTAATTAAATAAAAAGAGCAATTAAAAGATTTAAACAACACTGAAAACATGAAATTAAATAAAATTACCCTGATAAGAACACTTGCAAAGGAGAGAGAAAACCTCTTGAGAGCTTTTCGAATCATTATCACACAACAAAATCCTAACTTTGCTTCGATCAATAAACTGATCAGTAGTATTCTTCACGTTACTATGCCCAACTTCATCAATCTCCATTTTCCCCAAAAATAAAACCCTAAAATCAAAAATCGAAAAAAAAAAAAAATCCCTAATTTTGTTATCTCATGATTTTCGCCATAAAATGGAAGAAAATTTCAATTAATTTTGAGAACTAATAAGAAATTAATTCATAACTATAGAAGTTCCATTAGAGCAGCAGAATTGCTAAAAGCAGAGGAGAGAGAAAGTGGAACAGTGAAGATTTTAATTGAAGACGCCATTTTCATCATCACCTAATTCTCCAGAGTTTTTTTCAGGAGAGAGAGAAAGAAGAGGGTAAATAAATATCAATCATGATATTTGAGAACCAACAAAATTGGACGGCTGAGATTGAGTTTTGATGGAGAATGGACGGTTAGATTGAGAGATAGTGGGACCTACACGGCGTATGTTAGTAGGTTGTGGGGCCCTTTTCCCCGACCAAACAATTTTTCTTTTTTCGCTTTTATTTTCTCTTTCTTCTCCAATTATCAAGTTCAAATAGAGTATGCTCCTGTCAAAAATAAATAAATTGTCTATTGGCGTCCAATTATATTACGACAACTTGACAATCACTTTGTTAGGATTAATTCCGTCTCCTATTATTTGCAACTAATAGATAATTTATTAATTTAACTTATATTTTTATCAGATTATTATAATTAATATAAAACGGAGGTAAAATTTTTCCTTTTTTTTTTGGGAAATTTTTTTTCACTATTAGTTGAGCTCAAGATGATGTTTAAATTCATTTTATTCAGTTCTCGTGTTTTTGGACTATGATCGAGTTAAATGAACACCCTAATTGCAATACAACGGTGTCCCATTGATCCAGGTATTTAATAAACATAAACGAGCTATGATTAATACTCATAGCTCGTTTATGTTATATTTACCTGAACTCATATACCTCGATATTTATATTAATACTCATAAGAACTTTTCTGTACTTACTTAAGAATAAATTTTTATTATTAAATTAATTTTCAATTTGCAATACAAAATTTATTTAATGGTCAAGTGGGTGATGCTTACAAGTATAATGGGGTACGTGGACGATTAAGATTAATTTAGGATTTGTATAATAGATTGAAGTGAAAGGGTGAAAGGCGCATTTTAGCAAATAGAAGGACGTGGATGAAAGAGAAAGGACACGGAGGAAAGAAAAGTGAAGGAAAAAGGGACAATATGAAAATAGGATAGTCCATTGGAGATAGGGGGCTGGCCACGCCATTTCTAGATCTATTATTTCCTTAGATTTTTTTTAGATTTTTTCTATTTTTCCTTTGTAAAAAGATTTTAAGGATAGTACCACAAAATCAAATTCTTCTTTAAGATCATTTCTTATTTTTGCATTGCGTGTCCTCCTTTTATTGATGCAATTGCACCTATGGAAAGAATATATTCCATCCGTTTAGGTACCGGGATAAATGAATAGTTCAGTTATAGTAGGCATAATTTGAGTAAGGGAGTATAATTTTATTGGTTAGAATTTCCTTTCCGACTTTAGAAGATTTGATTATAAGATTAATTTTCATTACTAGCCCTTGTGACTCTTCTTTATAAGTGGAATATATGGTACCAGGTATAAGGAGTCTTATATTGCATTCATATGAGACTAGTATTCTCACAATTCAAGGCCAAAGAGCTTTTGTGTGAGAGACGTAATAGAACATGTGCATTCAGCAACACTAAATATTGCCAAAAGTTAATTAGTCTACTAATTTGTCCCTCCATCCTCAAATAAGCGTCTTGTAAGTTACGAAGTATTTTGCACAATCCTGAAATAATTATATTTAACCTTACCTTATGAGTTATGACCCTGAATGATTAGATGTAAAACATTTCCATTGAAAGATTAGATTTCATAGAAAACATATTTTTGAAAAAAACCACATTTGTAAATTAGTTTTCCTTTGTCTGGTTCTCACAAGGAAAGTTAAAAGAGCTTAAAAATAGGAATATGGAAATAATATAAGAATGGATGAGAAGAAAATACAATGGAGTTAAGGAGAAAGGAGGAGGGAGGAAAATATGACTTCCCTTATTTAGTTAGAAAAATGTTTTCTACGGATTATTAACCACCCCCTTTACAACCAAGCAAAATAAAAGAAACTGAAAATAATTTTTTATAAAAACATTTTACATTAAACCAAATCGGATTTAAATGAAAATTTTATCTTACCAACTCATCTATCTATCTCATGTGATGTGAACTCCATCTACCATCAAGTCATTAACTATCTCACTCTCAATATATCACTCTCACTCTCACTCTCACTCTCACTCTCCTTATATTTCATGTGAACAATGTGAGGTCCTTCTACTTATTTTACACTTAACTATAACAGTATAACTATAAATAATTGTACATTATCCTCTATTTACTCTTAATATGTACGTCCAAACTTGTGATGACAATAATTTGAAGACGGAGAAAGTGATGTTTTATAATTTATATACATAATTAGAATAGGGATATGAATTTTGAGAAAAATAGTTGGCTACATTACCAAACACCTTTAATTTAAACTGTTCCAAAGTTAGTATTAATTGTAGTTTTACAACTGATGGTTTGATGTACCGTATATTGTACAAGTTTGTACTAAATCTAAGTCTCCTATAAGGCTATAAGGCAATTGATACACATACATTTGGAGAGGTGCCCCACTAACTACAAATTGCTTGGGAGTAGGAGGATTCCCATACCTCCCCCTCTACTCTTAAGCGCTAACCTGCGAAGCTAGGCTGGTTAAACCCGTGAGAGGTGTTGGTTCAGTAGAGTCCTTCATCTTACCTTTAAAAAAGTAATAATAAAATAAAATTGACATATACAATGGAATAGGAATCAACCTTATTCGCCTACACATTATGTGGATTAATCCAAAGGAACTTTGAAAAAAAATTTCCTACGAACATAGCATGAACTAACCTTACTCCGAGGGTCCTAGAATTACCCATAATTATGCAACTTAAAACATATGGTGTGCTTTTCTGACCCATGTTTTTTTCCCATGTTATTGAGTTTGAATCATTGGAATGAAGTGAAATTTTGTCCTATAGCTAGAGACCAAATTTCTTGTATTTAATGAGAGCTACGAAATAGGAAGTACAACACCTGACGTAAATGGTAAGTTTATGTGTACCCCACCTAGACAACCAATTCTATTAGTTGAAATAACTGATCCACTTATTAACATCTAAAATTTTAAACTAAAATCTCAATTTGTATTTGATAGAAGGACAGTTGAGATTTGATAAACATTACATCATAAGATTCATACATAGTACATTCTTACAAATCATAAAATTTCATTAGCATGCACCTTAATTACTACAGTCTAACATAAACATAAACTATACTTAGGCATAGACTTCACAAGCTTCCTAAACCACAAACTTAATTAGACACTTAATTACGAGTACAACAATGCATAAGCTAATTCTAATTAGGCATAGCATTACATAACACATACTTCAATAGGTTCATTACTAACCACGTACTTAATCAGACACTTAATTACGAGTACACAAACTTAAGCAGGTTCATTATTGACCACGTACGTAATTAGACACTATTTTTGATGCCTTAACTAAACCCAGTTCTCACATCATGAACTCTATCCCAAAGCATAACTCCTCCATATTTGTCACCAAATCCCTTAACAAAAGGAAGCACTTGGCTTATAAGTGTTTGTGAAGTGATAGAATATACGATAGATATTCTAGATATTCTGTTATCGTAGGAGATATATTTTGTGAATATTTGTAATTATCTTTTGAGATTCCTAATGTGATTAGGACTCACGATTGTAACCCTATATATATTGATTAATGGTAAACACTCCAATCTAAGGAGTTTATATTATCTAACATGGTATCACGACTTTAGGTTACGATCTAGCTTCCGCAAAATTTATTTTTTTTAGTCGCCATCTTTGTCCTCTTTCCACGGATTTTTCCTCAATTAGTGCTTTTGCAGGTTCTTTTCCACCATCATTATTTGATTACTTAATCAATTATTTCCTTTTCTTTTGTTTTCCGTTGTGGTGCGCCTAACCTCTCACTGTCACTAATACCATGGGCAAAGATGACGAAATACCCTCTTCCTCTTCTTCTTCTGATTATTACCCTGTTTTAGGTGTTAATAACATCAAGAATGTATTTCCTCTTATTCTTGATCGAGAAAAAGTTCAATATTCCAATTGGGTTGAATTATTTGAGTGTCATACACACGCGTACAATGTTCTTGATCATATTGACCCTAAAACAACTAAGTCGACGGATATATCGGATGAGATGTGGAAACGACTTAACTCCATTGTCAAGAACTGGATTTATAGCACAATCTCCAAGGATTTGCTTGAAACAGTTATAGAAAAAGGAGTTGCGGCTCAACAGATTTGGGACAAGCTTAAGGCAATTTTTCAAGACAATAAAACCACTAGAGCCGTCTATCTTGAAAATCAGTTCAATGCCTTACATCTCTCAAAATTTTCAGATATTTCTTCTTATTGTCGTGAATTGAAGAACATCAAAGATCAATTAGCCAATGTATATCAACCGGTGTCGGAGCAAAAGATGGTTATTCGATTGGTTTCGGGGCTCGTCAACACTGATTTTGATACGGTTGCTGCAAGATACAACAAACGGACCCTCTTCCCTCATTCGAAATTGCACGTTCTCGTCTGCTACTTGAAGAATCCAGACGTGCTAATGACACCACTGCTCAAGCCTCTTCCTTCGTGGCTCAGACCACAAATTCGGCTTCTTCTGGAACAACCACCGCACCCCCGGCCCAGCAGCAGAACTCACCAGACGGCAGGGGTAGCAGCGCCGGTGGTCGGAGCAAGGCCGCGGCCGTGGCCTGGAAGAGGCCGTGGCCGGGGAACGGCACAACAACAACAACAACAACCCCAGCCACAACAGCAGAAACAAGCTCCGTCTTGGGGTAATCAGTCGTGGGCTAGTAATAACCAGACCCAGTCACATGCTCCACAATGGGGCTTTGCTCCATGTCTTTACCCGCAGCAGTGGGCTCCTCCAAGACCTGGGTTCATGGCCCAGCAGCAAAGCCGACCCCCACAGGCCTATTTCTCTGGGCCATATCCGCAACAGCAGCAACAATTTCAGCCACAAGGGTCGGAGTACGGGTCTGCAATGACTCCCACCGAGCTCGGAAATTCTTTTGCAACAATGAGCCTTCAAAACTATGATCCGTCTTGGTACATGGACTCCGGGGCCACTTCCCACATGACTAACAATGTCGGTAATCTCTTACCCCTTTTTAATTTAAGCACTAATAATTTCATTCAGGTGGGAAACAGTCAACGCATTCCAATTACGGGTTATGGTCACTCTAGCATTGCAAATAAATCCCTATCCCTTCGTGTTGTTTATTTAGCTCCCCAAATCATTAAAAACTTAATTTCCGTTCGTAAATTTACTTCTGATAATTCCGTGTCTATAGAATTTGACCCTAGTGGTTTTTCTATGAAGGATCTACGAACGGGGAGACTAATAACCAGATGCAATAGTGTGGGGGACCTTTATCCAGTCACAAACACACCATCAACATGTCTAGCTACATCACTCACAACTCTATCCCCTTCCACATGGCATAACCGCTTAGGACATCCTGGAGCACCAACTTTGAGCTTTCTTAGGAATAAAAATTTTATTGATTGTAATAAGGAGCAAGAATCCACTACTTGTGTAGGTTGTCAATTGGGAAAATATACTCGCTTGCCTTTTTATGATTCTAATAGTACTACTTATTCTGCATTTGATATCATTCATGCTGATTTGTGGACTTCTCCTATTCGTAGTGAAAAAGGACATAAATATTATTTAGTTCTATTAGATGACTTCACTCATTATGTGTGGACTATTCCTCTTGTTTATAAATCTCAAGCTTTTCAAACCTTCCTTAATTTTCGACAATATGTGCTTACTCAATTTGAGCGTCCCATTAAGTCATTCCAAAGTGACCATGGTCGTGAATTGATAATGATCCGTTCAAACTTTTCTGTGTCAAAAATGGATTGGTTTTTCGCTTCTCTTGTCCACATACATCATCACAAAATGACAAAGTTGAACGCATGATTCGTACGATTAATAATATTAACCGTACACTTCTTTTTCATGCCTCTCTCCCACCTTATTTTTGGAGTCATGCCCTTGAAACGGCCACTTATTTGTTGAACCTCATGCCTACCAAAACACTCAATAAAATTACTCCTGCTCAAGCTTTATTTAGCATTGTCCCATCCTACACTCACCTTCGCGTTTTCGGGTGTCTCTGTTTTCCTAACCTCTCCGCCACAACCAAACACAAGTTAGCACCTCGATCATACAATTTCGCACTTCTGATTATAATTTTTTAGGTGATTGTGATCCATCCCCCTTATTTCAACTACAAAATATGTTGAAAATACCCAATAGGCAGCCTACTCCGCAGGAGAACCGCGACCCAACCCCATCAGCCGCAACAGGCCCGCGGCCCAACCTGACTTCCCAAACCCCAGCGCCTACTGGTTCTTCTTCGGTCCAGCCAGCACAGCGAGCCCAATCCCACACCACACCAGCGCCTGCTGGCTCTCTCTCCGCCCACCCGGATTCTCAGCCCAAATCACCTTTTCAAACTTCTCCTCCCTCACCTACAAGCCCAAATACTTATACTCCTCCTCCCCTTAGAGGCCTCACGCCCATTACACCAACAAGACCACCTCCGAATTCCCCTCAAATGCAAACTAGATCCAAACATGAGATTTTTAAACCCAATCCAAAATATGGCTTAACCATTTCCACTCCTAGCACCACCTTAGACCGTTCTCCCTTACCTAAAAATCACAAACAAGCTCTTTCTGACCCTAATTGGATGCAGCGATGCGTGATGAATATGGTGCTTTAATTGAAACGGGGACATGGGAATTGGTTCCTAGGCCAACGGGGGTAAATGTTGTCAATTGTTTGTGGTTATTTCGACATAAATTGAATGCTAATGGTGATCTTGAAAGACACAAAGCTCGACTGGTTTGTGATGGCAGGTCACAGGTTGAAGGAGTTGACTGTGATGAAACTTTTAGCCCGGTTGTTAAACCAGCCACTATTCATACAGTGTTGAGTTTATCTATGGCTCGTAAGTGGTCTATTCACCAACTTGATGTAAAAAATGCCTTTTTACATGGTGATTTGAATGAGTGTGTTTACATGCATCAACCCCTTGGGTTTGTTGACAAGCGATTTCCAGGTTACGTTTGCAGACTTCACAAGGCTCTTTATGGTGTAAAACAAGCTCCACGAGCTTGGTATCAGCGATTTGCTAACTATCTTTTGCAGATGGGGTTTGTCATTGCTAAAAGTGATAATTCTTTATTCACTTTCCGGCACGGGAGTGATGTGGCATATTTGCTACTATATGTTGACGATATTGTGTTGGTTACTTCCTCTGATCGGCTTCGTGAGAACATTATTTCTCACCTACGGAATGAGTTTCCGATGACTTACTTAGGTCCTTAGAATTATTTCCTAGGTATAGCTATTACTCGTACTCCTTCATATTTGTTTCTTTCTCAGCAAAACTATGCACAGGAAATTGTAGAGCGCGCAAGTATGGCTAGTTGTAAACCTGCGGCAACCCTAGTGGATACTCAATCCAAACTCAGTGCAGACTCTGGCCCTCAGTTTCATGATCCAACACTCTATCGCAGTCTTGCAGGTGCTTTACAGTACCTCACTTTTACTCACCCTGATATCACATATGCAGTTCAGCAAGTTTGTCTTTTCATGCATGATCCTAGACAAGCTCATTTTGATGCTTTGAAACGCCTCATAAGATACATTCAGGGTACCATTGATCACGGGTTACACTTATATCCTTCATCTCCTACATACTTGATTACTTATACTGATGCAGATTGGGGCGGGTGCCCGGACACTCGTCGTTCGACCTCGGGATATTGTTGTTTTCTTGGGGACAATCTTATTTCCTGGTCTTCGAAGCGTCAACCTACTCTTTCGAAATCAAGTGCAGAGGCAGAATACAGGGGCGTCGCAAATGTTGTTGCCGAGGCTTGCTGGCTTCGTAATCTTCTTTTGGAGTTACATTGCCCACTCCGACGGGCTACTGTTGCTTATTGTGATAATGTCAGTGCAATATATTTATCTCATAATCCCGTACAGCACCAACGCACCAAGCACGTCGAAATGGACATTCGTTGTTCGAGAAAAGGTGGCGTTGGGGCAAGTACTGCATGTTCCATCTCGTTATCAGTTTGCTGACATTTTCACGAAAGGCCTACCTCGACAACTATTTTTGGAGTTCAAATCCAGTCTCAGCGTACGACCTCCTCCCGCTACGACTGCGGGGGTGTGATAGAATATACGATAGATATTCTAGATATTCTGTTATCGTAGGAGATATATTTTGTGAATATTTGTAATTATCTTTTGAGATTCCTAATGTGATTAGGACTCACGATTGTAACCCTATATATATTGATTAATGGAAAACACTCCAATCTAAGGAGTTTATATTATCTAACATGAAGGAACAAACCCACTTCCAGCAGCGCTCTTTGCTGCTGCAGCAGGCAACCCAACAAAGAACTTCTTAGCAGGGATGTTTGAGGTCCATTTTCTCCAAGAATTCTTGAACTTCTCAGGGTTACTAACATCGAACTCGCAAGAAGGGTTGTTGTAAAACTGAATCCAAACGTAGTCGAAAAGCCCGGTGTGTAGGGCACCGTTGAGCTTATGATCTGGGAAAGGGCATTGTGGTGCAGCACTTAGGTATACTTTCTTCCCTGATTGTTGCCCACTATGTTACCAGGACTAGGGTACGGGTGTCGGACACGGACACGCGTCAAGGTATCCAATTCGGCAAAGTCAAAAATTTTGGGACTCGGGGACTCACTCCGAAATTTGGACACGGGTGCGGGGACACGTGTGTGTGTGTGTATATATATATATATATTCTACGGAGTAAGCCATAAGGAAGCCTTTAGTGAAAAAAACAGTAAAGGAAAAAAAGGATGTCTGATGTGGGCCAGGATAGAAAAAAAGAAACAACCTTTAATGAAAATAATAAAGAAAATACAGGTTGTTAAAGCATAAAGAGTAAGGGTCACGTGAAAACATTTTCTTTTCTTTTTCTTGTCTCTCTCTTCGTATTTCTTCTTCACCTTAAAAACTCCCAGCACTTCAATGGAGTCTTTTTTCTCCGTCACCCTCGATGCGAAATCAGAATGGCGTTTGGCTCGCCAGAGGCCCACGAGTAAAAGCCCTATAGTTTTATTACTTTTTACTTCTTCATTTTTGTTTAATTTGGGAATCAGGGTTTCTGCCGAATCCGAGGAGAAGTTGACGAATTGGACACGAATTTTGTGTCCGAATCCCATACGCGTCGTGTCGACTCGCGTTCGGCGGCCAAAATGCCGAGTCCATTTAACAAAGGTTGCCCATGCTCGGTGAGTCTCCGTGCTAGTGCTTGGTAGTGTGGCATACCTGACTCGATGTCGAAATCTATGCCGTCTAGCACGGCATTGCCTGGTGAGAACATAGAAGATCATATTAAATAGGGAAAGGAAGAAAAGAAGATGAGTAATAGAATTTCAAAACATTGTTATAAAAAATTGTTCTTCACACAACTTAGGGTCTATTCTCGTACGATTATTTTCAGTTCAGTTCAGCTCTAATAAGTTTAGTTCAGTTCAGCTCCTAATTTCCTTCTCTTATAAAATACTAAATTTAGTTCAGTTCAGTTCAATTCAGCTCTAATAAGTTCAGTTCAGTTCAGTCAATGAAAACAAGCCCTTAATGCTATTTTTTTTCAATTTATTCTAGTCGAATGTGATTAGATCTAGTCTGATATGTTACATTAATATAAATTGAATACTTACTAAAAACATAAAATTTTGTGCCAGCCCAGTGTTACAATAATAATACTCCGTAATAAAAACGCATGGACAAAATTTTAACACATATTATTACAATCAAAGTAAATTACATAACAAGCTTATGTAGTAGTGCATACCTAGCGGCCGAAATTTGGATTGGCCTCCAAGGAAATGATCCCACAAGTAATCGGCAACACCTCTAGCTTCCTCGGACGATGATAGAGAGTAACACTTGGTTTGGATAGGAAGAAATGGAAGGAAAAGAAGAGAAGAGAAATGGAGGGAGACAAAATCTCTTGTTTGGGTAAAAGATTGGGGGAAGGAGAGGGAGGGATCTATTTTCCCTTTCTCTATAATAACCATAATCTCTCCAAAATTGGAGAGATTTGGAGGGAAAATGGAGCTCACCTCCCCCTCCCTTTCTTTTCCCTTCCCTTCCTCCATTTTTCCTCCCCTTCTTTTCCTTCCTTCTTTGCTATCCAAACAAAGCGTAACTCTTAGTTCTAGTAGCATCGCCAATGGAGAGCATGACCTTAATCCCCATACGTTGGCAATTTCGTATGCCAACGCTCACTCTTTTGCACCCACCATCTTTAGGGGTGCAGTGGCCAGCCAAGTCAATTTCGGGTTTTTGGCCATTCCCAAATTTGTGAAGAAATGCTATGTTAACATACTTATATAACATGCTTCTACATGTATCTGTTAATGTTCCCTCATTCACATTTTGGCCCCAATAAACAGCAATTCCCCCAGCATTGGCTTTAAAGGCCAAGGAAACTAAAAGAGTGGTGATTATAACTAGCAAGAAAAGAGGATATGACCCAATTTTAACACCCATTATTTTTTGAGGTTTGGCTACTATTAATCCTATTATGTGTTTAGTGTTATTGTGTTATTCTAAGGCCATCAAGTTCAAGTCTTATTTATAGAGTAAGAAACTACAATTACTAGTACAAGGTCTTGATTTATTATGCTTGTTATAAAGTCCGACGACTTAGAAGTTGACTCAATAGTACTACTATTGTGCTAGTAGTACACTAGGAATAATAGGCAATTCAAGGACAACAACTTGATCAACTTGCATCTTCCATGCATTATTGCATTGTTTAGTTTCACTTTCTAAGGGTCTGTTCTCATTGACTGAACTCAGCTGAACTGAACTGAGCTGAGCTGAACTGAATTGAACTAAACTGAAATGAATATTTTATAAGAGAAGGAAATTAGGAGCTGAACTGAAATGAGCTGAACTGAATTTCAACGTAAGAGAACATACCCTAAGAAGTGTTCCCTCAATTTCAAGGTAGTTTGGTTGCATGTTTTATGTTTATAGTACTGAGTATAAATTTTGGACCATTGAAAATTACGCAGAGTTTCACTTTCTCATAAATGAGAAATATTATTTTGTTTATCATAAGATAAAATTCCTATGAGAATTTATATTTTTTTTAATTAAGGGAAGTTAGATAATAAATAAGCAAATTCCCTCATTTTGTGAGAAGTAGATTTTCTCATGATTTTGTACTCAAATCTTTATTTTGTAGGAATTTGTATTTCTCGTAGATTTAAAATGTCAGCCAAATTAAATAACACTTTATCAATAACGCTTGTCAATGTTTATATTAGATGATAGTAAAAAAATTACAAACGAGCAATAATTTACACTCCAATGTTTAAGGTATGAGTGTCGTGAGGGTTGGACAAAAGTTGATGATGAGAGGTTTTTGGTGCTATTCTTTAAATGAGTTTCTGTCATATGGTAAGAGTTGTTATGTTCTTGTATGTCAATAAATTGCTATAATAAATTGCCTTTTCCAAATTATATAATGCTTGATGGCTTTACATATAGCTTCCTCCCTTATCTTTTCCACATATATTAGAAACTTTTATAGAGACTAAAATGCATTCTTGAACTTTCAATATTATTAGGTATACTACATATATATATGCTTGCAATATATATATTGTCAAGACACGTCTTAAAAAAAAAAAAAAAAAAAAAAAAAAAAAAAAAAAAAACCTAAGCTGAAAACATGTAAACAAGTAAGGGTCTGTTCTCATTTACTGAACTGAATATTTTATGAGAGCTGAAAAGAACATACCTTAATTTTAATTTTTCAAATTAACTCTGGTAGAGGTGATTTAATCATTATTTTAAATTTCAAAGGCAATTTTTTTTTTTTAAATACAAGTACGTACATACAAACTGCAATTTGCACTAGAGTTCGGACTTGTTCGCTTTAGCTTATTTTGGATACTTATTACTTATTCCTTAATAAATTCAGATCAAATTAGACCAGACCAGATCATAAATATTAGATTATACCAAATCAGGACTTTTGATTATTATTTATTTATCGATATATATCATCAATTGCGTATTAAAAAAATAAAATTGAATATTTGAAAAGTATATGATGAAACGAATCTAACAAGATCCATTTTGATAATTTTTTTCTTTATAGATTAGTATTAAAATACGGTTAAATTTTAGTCAAATTGTTAAATTAGATCATACCAGATCAGATAATAAAAATTCAGATCATATCCGATCTTCTTGTTTAAGTTGACGAGAATAAGGGCCTGTTCACATTTACTTAATTTCAGTTCAGTTCAGTTCAGTTCAGCTCCAATCAGTTCAGTTCAGCTCCAATCAGTTCAGTTCAGTTCAGCTCTTAATTTTCCTCTCTCATAAAATATTCATTTCAGCTCAATTCAGTTCATTTCGGTTCAGTTCATTTCGGTTCCAATCACTTCAAATCAGTTCAGTTCAGCTTAGTTCAGTAAATGTGAACAGGCCCTAAGTCCAAAATTCCGTCGCACACGCTTAACTCCGTTTTTGAGTTTCTCCATTCGACACTTCTCAAAAACACAAAAACCTCCCGTCAAAAAAAAAAAAAAACAAACAAAAACCAACCCACCAACTCGCTGCTCTCCTTACTCGTCGGAAAAAGTGCCGGCGACCATCCATCCACTGCCAGGTATTCCTCCTCCCTCTCCTCTTTTCTCTCTCCTCTCATCTCTGTTTTCGTTTTTAGGGTTCCAAACAATTGCTGCTGCGACTTACAGTGCCGCCTTTTCTTCCTCTTTCCCTCTTTTTGATGAATTGTGATGCTAGATTATATTTACCAAACCCTAACTTACATGCTTTTCATTCATTCATTTTTTCTGATTTTTAATTCTTTGAATTATACCGTGTCAATTGATTGAAATAATGGTTGAAATTTAGTTTTTAATGATCTTGGGTATACCTGTATATTTCAATTTATAAAAGTTTTTATTTCATGAAAATTTGTTTTAGTATAATTCTTGAATGTTTAAAGTTTGTTTGTAATATCAGTTTTTAGTTCATTAAAGTATTAAAATTCTTTTTTCTTGCTTAATAATTATGCAACCTAATATTCTAAATTTCCCGATTTATTGAAGTTAGTATGTAAGGTATTGAAGATGTATATGTGGGTTTAAGATGCTACCTTTCAAATGAATGATTTCTGTGATGAGTTTTATATCTCAGAATCTTTAGAAGCTAATTCATTTATTGAATTCATGTATATAAGACCCTAATTTTGATTCTTGATTTATGGAGGAAATACTTTCAAAGTAAGATTAACTTGAGAATCTTACTTTAATCTAATGTTAGCTTATATGGCCTCTTTGCATTTTTTGGGTAGATGCCGGAGTATTGGAAGGGGTAGAAAACGATTTATTGAGCTAGACTTGAGCACTTCACTCAAGGTAGCCCATGGACACCTCTTTGGTTCTTTCACTAGAACTCAAGAACTATATGTTTTTTTGAACTATAAGCATGGTTTACACTTTAGACTGTTTTACATGCTGCCCAGAGTTGATAAAAAGGGGTCATTTCTGATATTAAAACATCTCTATTTCATGAAAACAAACTTTAATCTCTATGTATGTGAGTATACTGTCGTACATTGGGATGTTTTGTATGTGATTCTTACAACCCAAATTTTAATAGTTTTTAGATATGCTCAACCATTTTGCTCGTGCCTCACTTCAAGATTTCTAAGGGATATAAATTGCATACTCTATAGTGTTTTAACTCTTACAAGTGTACTTCCACAAATTTAACACAATTTTCAAAGTCATTCATATCAATTTAACGATTTATCAATGAACTTACCGGTTGATATTTCATCTAAATGAAATTTAAACTTGTAACCCAGCCGCCCTAACTCATCTTAAGTCATTTAAAAACCTTGAATATACATTGATTTGTGTAGGCCCTTTAGGAATGTGCATATTTTAGTTATGAGGTCCTTTAGGATGCATGCCATTTATACCTATAAGAATCCATTTATACCTATAAGAATTTGATTGATTTTTTTTTTTTGTCAAGTCTATCAAGCTGCATTTTTTAATTAGTAATTATTTTCAAATTAATGTGGTAAAAGATTCATATCTTGAAGAGAGTGTTCCCCTTTTTAGGCATTTTTTTCAGGATAGGGCATGTAGCTTACAATGGAGTGTTTGATTTGCTTTCAAAAATCTCGAATTTTCTCACTCCATGTCTTATCTGGATTTTAGATATTGTCTTGCTTCTTCTGGTCAAATGTGAGCTCAGTTTAATCAGTAGCATTTGTAAGTTTTCCCCCTTCCTATTTGTGCTGTGTCAATTTAACTGCTTGTTTGAATTTCAGGCCTCAATCTTTTTGTGCATTAAGTAGATTTGGTGGAATTTGATTGTTCCTGAAGTGGTGTCTCATCAGATATCTTCTACATGCTTTTTGTTGTCAATTATTGGATTACATTACTTTTAACTTCCACTTTCTTTTGTTCAAGATAAAAGATCTTCCTTTCTACATTCAGCTCTATCTCCTTTATGTTAAAATCACGGATTTCCCCAATCCCCCTTATTTTAATGAAATTGCTTGTTTACTGTGTATGTCCTTTGTTTCTTATCTTACTCTTTTCCCAGTCATGCTCATGATTCTATTTTTTGAAAAATTGGAATGCTATAGAGGTTTGGTTAATTAGGTCATTGGTGACAGGAAAACCTTGAAAAAGTTGTGATGGGGTACGCACAGTTAGTCATTGGTCCTGCAGGAAGTGGAAAGTCAACTTACTGCTCTAGCTTGTATCGACACTGTGAAACCATGTGTCGGACAATAAATATCATAAACCTTGATCCTGCTGCTGAAAATTTTGACTATCCTGTTGCTGTGGATATCAGGGAACTTATTAATTTGGAGGATGTTATGGAAGAATTAGGGTTGGGTCCTAATGGGGGTTTGATTTACTGTATGGAGGAACTTGAAGATAATCTTGATGACTGGCTTACTGAAAAGCTAGATGATTTCTTGGATGATGATTATTTGGTATTTGATTGCCCTGGGCAAATTGAACTCTTCTCTCATGTTCCAGTTCTTAAAAACTTTGTGGAGCACTTGCAGCGTAAGAGCTTCAATGTTTGTGTAGTTTATTTGCTAGACTCACAGTTTATGACAGATGTTACCAAATTTATCGGTGGCTGCTTGTCATCTCTGTCTGCAATGATCCAGCTTGAATTGCCCCACGTTAATATCATGTCAAAAATGGACCTCGTGAAGAACAAGAAAGACCTTGACGATTTCTTGAGCCCCGAGCCACAGATGTTACTGTCACAATTAAATCGTCGCATGGCGCCACAGTTTGAGAAGTTGAACAAAGCCTTAATTGATCTGGTGGATGAATACAGCATGGTGAGTTTCATCCCTCTTGACTTGAGGAAAGAGAACAGCATTCAATATGTTTTGTCGCAGATTGACATGAGCATCCAGTATGGAGAAGATGCAGATGTGAAGGTTAAAGATTTCGATATTGATGCAGATGATGATGAATAGCTGCAGCTCTCTCTGACCATCCGATTAGCACAACAAAATTAGCGTAGTTTCAAAACCTTGCCTATTGTAAACCACCTTCCTCATCCTTTCTATTTTTTGTTTTTATGGATCTCTTGGTGAGTGCCTGAGTGGCGAGTAACATAAAAGTCATGTTTATTGGAACTATTGAGACTTTGAACTTTTGAAGTACAAATTGTTTGTTAATGCTAATTTAGTTGCAAAACATAATACAATACTTTTATATATATGTGAAGGTTCCTTCTTTTCAAAGTAGTGCTAATTGGAGTACGAAGTATAAGGTACTCGAGTTGGTGGGGGAACACACCTTGTGATAGGAGTATGAAAACAACAAGTTTTGTGTATGGCCAGCCAACACACGAGTAAACCCTGACCAACCGAGTAACCTCTGATTAAGTAACCTTTATCCGACTAAGTAACCTTTTTCTAATCGAGTATTACCTTAACTAGTCTAATGCCCAAATGTTCTGCTAAGTTGCGGACAATAAGTCAATAAGCCTATGGTAGGAAATCTTCATAAAATAAAACCTAAATTCATTTTTGTCACAACAATTCTGTCCATGATCTTCAAAACTACAGCCAGAGACTCTTCCAGCATCCTCTCAACGCCTATTCCATAAGGCCCCATCACTTCATTAACAACCGCACCCTCCAATTTCATTGTTCACTAAATTCTGAATACTAAATAGCAAATGGAGAGCTATAGAATCCGCCAACCTCTTCAAAACAATATTCAAGTTGACATATTCGCATCTTCATGTCAAATGCTTGCTCAAGTGGGTGCTTATGCTTTTTTAAATGCGCCAAATCAACCTTACCAAGTCCTTCGAATTCCATGCTGTTCTCTTTTCACATGTGTTCACCTATATAGATTTGCCTTCCACAATATTCATAAACTTATCCTGACGTGACATCAGTCGATTCCAGACAGATAGGTATTGTATATCACAAGTATAGTCAGCACATGTCTCCATCTGCACCATCTCCTTAACACGAACAATTAACTAATCTTTCTTTCGAGAAATCAGATTAACTGCAGCTCTTCTGCAGGAGCTCTGAAGATATGGGTAATCGTCAGAATGCTGCACATTATTATGGAGAGCACTGCACCTTCTACATATCCCCAAAACTTAGTCATGAATTTTGTGATATTTCCTTCACTTCCCTCTGCAATAAATAAAGTGATAAAAGCCAAGTGAGGAAGGAAATTGGGTAGTCCAATTCCCTTAGCTTCCTCAAGAACTTGAATTTCGACCGTTAGGAAAATACCTAATGTAGTTTCATCTTTCTTTTTTGAATGCATAAGCTCTGAAAACCCGCGTAACATCTCAGCTAAACGAGCTTTGCAATGCATATTCATATCATCAGGGTACTCATTGTACTCTCCTCTAATAAGGATCTTCCTTAGGGATTCCTTCTCTCTGCATGAATGCTGTCATAGCCTAGGATAGATTCTGAGGCATGTTGTTCAGTTTAGCAACATTAGCATTCAACTTAGCATTAATCTGCTGCACAATGTTGGGCCAGTATTTTATGATAATGCTAGCCTGAATGTGAACCAATCTCTGAGCCAACTCCGGGATCCCCACAATCGATTTGTTCATATAAGTTTTCTAGCTGGCCTTGGACCAGCACTCGGGTGATCCCAGGGAGATCAACCATGGTCAAGTCAGGAACTCATTTTTTCCCGAATACAAGTGTTATTGGAGTATTAGATCCTTTGGCTTTTCCTGCAAGTTCTTGAGTAGCCGAGTTTATTGCTTCAGAAACATGAGCTTCGACTTTACCCATGTACTCATCAAGGAAGAGTTGTGGGGTGGGATCAGACTGCCAGACTGATGCTGAAGGCGCATGATGAGTGGGACTCTAGTGCAGATACCTTGACCCCTAGTGAAGTTACTAAGAGGTTCAAAGAATCAAATTAGTATTGTTAATGTATCTAGCCATGTTATATGTGTTGTGATTAAACCATCATCTCAATTCATGTTATTGGTTATCAATCGAAACTTTTGGCATTTTGTGAAGGTTGCAGAAATACATACTCTTTTGGATTTTTGTGTAAATTACCACCCTAAAATGTAACATGTGTTGAAATAACCACCCATTTTTGTTGAAATTAAAAATAACCACCCATATTTTACAAAACTATAGGTTTTACCACCCCTACCTATACTCCGGCCAGTTTTCCGAGCATGTGCTCCACAATTTCATTATGAAGAATCCTTATTTCCAATTCAAGTCAAATTGAATGAATCAAACAACGATTACATCATTAAATTCCTAATAAAACACATTCCAAACAATAAATATCGTATAACTTGAATTCTACTTTATTAAACATTGCAAAATAACTAAAAATAAATAAAAATTCAGTGCGTTCTTCAAAGGATTCGCTTGTCAATTTGCAAACTTTGGAGTAAAATTTGGTAGAATTTTTGAAAAAAATGAAGAATTATAAGTTTGGGAGTAGTTTGTGAAACAAGGTAGAAAATAAATCGAGAAACAACTTCTATAAAAATCATAAAACAGCCATTATGTGGGGCCTATGCTCGGAAAACTGGTTAGAGTATTGGTCGGGTGGTAAAACCTACCTGTTTTGTAAAATATGGGTGGTTTTTTTTTAATTTAAAAAAATGGGTGGTTATTTCAATACATGGTACATTTTGGGGTGGTAATTTACAAAAAATTCTACTCTTTTTGTCCCTTAAAAATTGTTTTATTATGATTTTGTCTTTTTATAAGGCCTTGTTTAGTTCACCTTATTTAAGGAAAAAAAAGTTCAAATCAGACAAGACAGAAAAAATAAGTTTAGATCAGATCAGAAAAATAAGTTCAGATCAGATTATCGTTTTATGTGTAGTTTTTATCGCTAAAAATCTTTAATTTCATAATGAAAAAAAAAAATCTGAATATCACATATTAATAAAATACACATTATTACAAATCTAACAAGACCGCTATTGGTATATTTTTTTTTCGTATAGATTATTGTACATTTAAGGTCAAAGTTTGGTCAAATTTGACATTTAGATTAGATCAGGTCAGATCAGAGACCAGATCAGCAACAATAAGGTGAACCAAACAAGCCTAGGGATGTCCATAATTTGGATAAAAACCGAAATCCAATCCAATCCAAACCGAATTATCAATTCGAATCGGATTTGAACTTTAAATCAGATCAGATCGGATTGAGATTTTTTGAAAATTCGGATTTTCGGATCGGATTGGATTGACCCTAACGGATCAAATTAAAACCAAAATCCGAAATTTAGATATCAACATGTATAATATGGATTGCTGTGGTTTATAATTGGGCCTTTAATATCAAGATTTGTGCAAATTATCCATTGATGAGCTTGAAAAAGTTGAGGTTTTAGACGACTAAGGGCCTATTCATATTTACTTAATTTCAATTCAGTTTAGTTTAGTTTAGTTCAGCTCAGTAAATGTGAACAGGCCCTAAGCTTCTACCTTGATTAAAGAATTTTGGTGGCCTGCCTTTTGTGCTGTTTGCTGCTGTTTGGATTGTTTGTTGTTGCTGCTTTCTTCTTAGGTTGTTGATGTCTGCTCTCTTTATAAGTTGATGGCGCCTACCGTTTTAAATTGATGCTGGTGACCTACTGTTTTAACCTTGCCAATAAATTTTATCCTCCTTACAAGTAGTCATCATTTTGAAGAAGCAATTTTTTTTGAGAAAATTCAAGTTTATCAATATGATAAACATGAGTTGTTTATCAAAGGGTATATTGGACTATTTACTCATGAATAGTAGGGACAATTTTTCCATTAAATATTTTTGTTAGGCAAATTCAACTAACAGCGTTAGCCTTGTCGTTAGTCAAAATTTGCAAGCAAATTCATCTTCTTCACTGGAGAAAGTCGGCGAGTCGACTAAACGCCAGTGAGTTTGTAAGTCGATTTTCTTCCAATTTGGTGTATGTATAATGGAAAAAATTCAGAAAATTATAATGGAGAAATTCAATCTTCAAGCCCAATTTTAGCTTTAATGGAGGACATGGACACATGGTCACCCTACCATTTGGGGTTGACCATGCCCTTAATTTCACCCTTATTTCTAGGGTTATTTGTTTATATCGGCGTCGGTGGTGCCGAATGGGGTGATCTTCAATGTCATCGTCTTCAATGGTGTCACCTTTGATGTGAGCTTCAATGGAGGAGGAAAGAGGAAGAAGAAGGATCATTATTGCAATTGACGACTTCATTGTTAAAGAAAATATGGTGATGAAAATGGTACCTTCCTCCATTGTTGAATGGAGAACCTGGGTCTTCTTTCTCTTTCTTCTGTTTAGAGGGAGAAGATGAGTAACTTCCGTCAGTTAGGGACCAATATTCAGCACGTGATTAAAAGAGGATGAAAATATTTTTTAATTAGCCAGCATGAGATTCTATGCAAAATAATTACCAAATTGCCATTTGATAAACATTTCAAGTTTATCAGATTGATAAACATGGGCTTCCTCATTTTTTTTGGTGCATTGTACTTCCACTCCTAAACAAGATAGTTTTGTGTTAAAAATAGTACAACTACGAAGTATAAACAAAAATAATAGTGTGTAGGAGTATATATGTTTGTAAGTAACATAAGCTTTGTTCGATTTACAAAAACATCTATTAAAGCTTTAGGTGATCATATTACTTTGCGTGACTTGTGAAAATAAAATAGAAATATTCAACTTTTTTTTATAGGAAAATGAAGAAAGTTTCGATCATTATTTTCTTAAATTCAACTAACAGCATTGATTTTTCTCAAATTAGTGCCTTTGAGTTTATTTCGATTATCCTCCACGCTAAGTAAGTGATTGTCTTCACGAGGACATTGTCAGTGTGGCTATGTCGCGTTTAAGGTGTCAAAAAATTGCAATCAAAAAAAAAAAAAAAAAACAACTTGAATTTTAGACTTGTATGAACACAATAATTTAACATGATTCAAATTTAATATATTTCCGACCTAAGTTCAGCAAATCCATTTTTTTTTTTAGGACACCAAATCCAATTAATACCTCCATTGCGCATGTTCAATTTTTTATCTCCTTTTTTTTTTTTTGGGGGGGGGGGGGGGGGTTGTTGAAGAAATCTCTTGTTCTCTGTTACTGGGTTGGACCGTAATCTTGTTATGAACTTTTAATGAAATGGATTGGGCCTTACTATTTTTGAATAAAACCTTTTTTTTTTTTTAATTTTTTAACGGGGAATAAATCCTTAATATTTTTGAAAGAAAAAATCGCTATAGTAAAAAAAATCATCGCTGAACAGTGAACCCTGAAACGAAGAAAGCTGCAATTCACCATTTTTGCCGACCTAAAGTGATGGCGCGGCTAGAGAAATTCAGGTTAGTTGTCTTTCGGCTATATTGATTTTTTTTAATATACTTTTAATATATTTTTAATTTAATTGTCGATAAAACTTGTTATTTATGATTTAGTAATACTAGTTTTGAACCCTAAATAGATTCAGCCCGTACAATAATACACGGTTAAAATTATGGTTAACTATTTATTTATTAGGGAGTAGTGATTTTTATTGAAGTATTCTTCAATTGCATATAGGGATTAATCTTAGATAGAATTTAAGGAAAAGAAAAGTGTGTAAATACAAATTGTGATGTAGAAGTAGAATAAATTTAAGCATAATGAGGAAAACCAATCAGAAACTAATGCAAAGTGAAATTCCACAAAAATCTACAACATTAAGCAAAATAATGTACTCCTAATGACAGTAGTATGAAACATTTAGCAAAATAAAAAAAACAGTAGTACTCGTAGAAGATTTCCAACCCAAAAAAAAAAAAAAAGTCAATCATGGAAAATGATGCACTTAATATTTAAAGGGAATGTCAATTATCAAGTGCAAAATTTATGTCAATAATGTCACACTCCCACTAGATCAAAATCAAAGCATAATTTACTCTTTTAAGAGGGACCAAGGATCCCATATCCATTTGGGATTGGGTCTCGATGTTATCATGATGAATCCTATGAGATCATTTGCAATACTTGTTTTTATCCCCCAAAACCTATCTTGCGTGCTAATGATCTTCTTTTTGAGGTTATGTACATAGATTGGAATGGAAAGGAACCTGCTGTGACTTATCACAACCAAACACTACTAGTGAAAAATATCTTTCGTAATATCTGCACCGGTGACAATGGTGTTGTTACTGATTCTCCAGTTGTCCAGCGCTTTGACCTTCGAGGAACTCCCTTTATTTTTTCAATAGATCGAAATGTTTTTGCGGTGAAGGGTTGTGGTGCCAGCCTTATATTGAAGAATAGAAGCAATAAAATCGTGACCGGATGTTCTTCAATATGTACAAATAATGTTTCTAAGAAGGACATGACTAACTGCAATGGGGATGGATGCTGCCAATCTAGGTTGTCATCTTCAACATACGACTTAGAAACTAAAAAGGACAAGAACTGTGGATGGAAGAACTGTTGCCATTAAGAAATCTAAGAAGGTAGACAAGAGTCAGCTGGAACAATTTATTAATGAAATGGTTATTCTTTCACAAGTTAATCACCGGAGTGTGGTCAAATTGTTGGGCTGTTGTTTAGAGACAGAAATCCCATTGCTTGTCTATGAGTTCATTCCAAATGGAACTCTTTATCAACATATTCATGATCCAAGTGAAGATTTTCATGTTACTTGGAGAATGCGTTTACAAATTGCTTCAGAATCAGCTAGTGCTCTGTCATACCTTCATTCATCTTCATCTGCTCCAATATATCATAGGGACATCAAGTCCTCCAATATACTGTTGGATGAAAAATACAGGGCAAAGGTTTCTGACTTCGGAGCTTCAAGGGCCATTACCATTGAGGAAACTCATGTGACCACTTGTGTTCAAGGCACATATGGCTATTTGGACCCAGAATACTTCCAATCGAATCAATTCACTGAGAAAAGTGATGTGTATAGCTTTGGAGTAGTACTTGTTGAGCTCATAACAGGAAAGAAACCGATTTCCCCCAACCAATCGGGTGGGTATATAAGCTTGGCTACTGAGTTCCTCTTTCTCATGGAATATTTTTGACACTTGTGTTTCTGAATATGAAAGGAAAACAACGGCCTACAATGAAAGAAAAATCCAGAATGTTTCAAGAGTGAGTGTGTGGTCTTGGAGTATAATCACCCTTTCAGTATAGGCACATCCTTTTCGGACAATAGCCCTTGCCTTTCCTCATCTATTGAAGCCCTGCCACTAATGGCCGGTTATTTGATGTCAGTGGTTCAATCTTAGATTGTTTAGAAATTGCCATTCCTGTAATTGTTTGCTAACTAAAGTTTTAACTTTCACACGCAGGGGGGGGAGACCAATTTGTAGGGCTGGGTTGGTGAGAAACTGCAGGGGCCTTGTAAACAGCATCGGCATAATTGTTTGTTTCCTCAACCCATCTCAACACTCTACCAATCAGAATGTTGTTTGGAGTGATGGAGTTTTGGAAAACTTTGAGGTTTCGATCCTGCCAGATACCCCACATAAGATACACTCCACGCACCAACATATCAGCTTGCATTCCTTTCCATTGTTCAATTAAATCGCAAGCTCCCTCAGCAGACTCGTGTTTAACCATCTCACCACAGTCTAGATCATACCACAGCTCTCTGACTCGTTCACACTCGAAGAAGGCATGCTTCCAGCTTTCTGTCTCCTTATTGCACCAGGGGCATAAATCACAATTAGTGAGATGGCGATACTTCAGAAGTGCTCGAACAGGTAAAGTCTCGGTGCAAAAGCGCCATAAAAAATTGCGAGTTTTTGGGAAGACATTCATTTTCCAGATTTCAACCTAAGCATGATGGAAATCATCCAAATTACATCCCTTACCAATCATGTAAGCTGTCTTTACAGAGTATAAACTATTCTTGGAGAAAGCCCAAGCAAGTTCATCTTGAGGCAATCATGAAGAACTTAAAGGAATGGCAAGAATACAGTGAGTGTCCCTCTCATTAAACACGTCACGAAGCAGATTATAATTCCACTCCATTCTTTCGAAACATATTAGATCACTCACCTTAGTCAGCTCACTAGTGGGAGTACTTGTTGCAAACCGGCCATTGTCGTCCAAGAGCCAAGGGTCCGACCAAATATTGACATTGCTTCCATTGCCTACTCTCCAAAAAACCCCTTCTTTTAGCAGTGACTTCGAACTCCAAATGCTTCTCCACGAGAAGCTCCCACCATAGCCCAGATAAGAATCCAAAAATTCAGAATTTGGATAGTACTTCGACTTCTTTACTCGGCTAAAAAGAGAATCCGGCTTTGTTGCTAATCTCCAAGCTTGTCTACCAAGGAGAGCATCATTAAAGACTGACAAGTCTCTAAAACCCATCCCCCCGAGACATTTTAAGGTGCAAAGAGAATCCCAACTCTTCCAGTGAATACGCCTTCTCTGCTCACTTTGACCCCACCAAAAATTTGCCATGGCCGAATGCATCTTTCTGATCACTTCACTAGGAAATTTGTAGACTCTCATAAGGTAAGTTGGAATGGCTTGAATAACCGATTTTAACAGAATTTTCCTTCCCTGCTTGTGATAAGAGCTTTTCCTTCCAACCTTGAAATTTCTTCCATATACGATCAGTAATAGCCTCAAAAACACTTCTCTTTGATCTTCCCAAAATATTCGGAATGCCAAGATATTTATCATGTCGGTCAACTTGCTTCATACTCAGAATTTCCTCTTTCTGCTCTGCTTGAACCCCTCTACTAAAGGACACTTCCGATTTATCATAATTGATTTTTTGCCCGGATGCTACTTCATACTGGTTGAGAATATCAACAATTATTTCGCATTCCTTCCGTTTGCCCTGGTAAAGAGGAGACTATCGTCTATAAAAAGAAGATGAGAAATTTTTGGGCCACTCCGACTAGCTTTTGCCCCATGAATTTTCCCAGCATTTGCTTTCTTCTGAATCAACTGCGAAAAAGCGTCAGCCACAATAATAAATAAATAAGGAGAAAGAGGATCTCCTTGAAGCAACCCTCTTGAAGGGGTTATCGAGCCACATACCCCTCCATTAATAATGAAAGAGTATTTAACAGACAAAACTAGTTCCATCACCATATTCACCCATCTGCCATCAAACCCCATCTTCAGTAAAAGTTGTCTAAGAAAACCCCACTATACTCTGTCGTAGGCCTTGCTTATATCCAGTTTCATGGCAATGTGGCCCTTTCGGCCCCGACTCTTGTTCTTCATTGTGTGGAATAATTCCAGAGCAATTAGAGCATTATCAGTAATTAGTCTTCCTGGCACAAAAGCACTCTGGTTTTCGGAGATAATATCACACAAAATACTTTTAAGACGAATAACCAGACACTTAGAAATAAGTTTATACAGAACATTACAGAGACTAATAGGACGTAAATCAGCAGCCAATTTTGGTTCTTTGACTTTCGAAATAAGAACAATATTAGTGTTGTTTAAATTTTCTAGAATAGAACCTCCGTTCAAGACATTAGTAACAAAAGTAGCCACATCATCACCAATAATATGCCAAAAACGTTGATAAAAAATAGCATGCATACCATCCGGGCCAGGAGCCTTGCTAGGATGCATTTGCTTGAGTGTAGTGAAAACATCGTCTTTGGTATAAGGCCTCGTGAGCTCACAGTTCATCTCACGTGTGACTGATTCTTGTACTTTATCAAGCACCGAACTGATGTCTTGAGTTGATGGATTTGCCGAGGTGAAAATGCCCCTGAAATAAGCCCCTATAATCTCTTCAATCTCTTCCTCCTTTTCCTTCCACACTGCATTCTCGTCCCACAAACCCGCAATATGATTTCTCCGTTGCCTCTGCGACGCTTTGTGATGAAAATACTTTGTGTTCTTGTCCCCGTCTCGAACCTCAGCCACCCTCAATATCAAGTGCCAATAGGCCTCGTATTTGTCATTTAAATCATCGAGAAGAGTCTCAAGGTCAGAGCACTCCTTACAACTATCATCAGAAATGGGACGCCCTTGAGCAATTAAAAGAGAAGCTTCAACTTCTGCAATTTGCTTACCAAGTTTATCAAAGGCCACCTCACTCCATTGCTTCAATTTAAGGCTCACTGCTTCTAGCTTATGAGCTGCATTCCCCAAACCTGTACTACCCCACGCTTCTTTCACAATCTCTTCACACCTCTCATCTAACAACTAGCAAGTTTCAAACTTGAACTCCCCCCTTTTTATTTTCTTTTTTTTCTTCTTTTTTCTAGGATCACAAGAAAGAATAATTGGAGTATGGTCGGATTTGTAACGTAGCAAATGCTCCACCCTAGCATACGAGAACAACCCACACCATTCCATCGAACCCAAGAATCTGTCCAACATCTCCCTCACTCTCGTGGTTGGATTTTTCCCCTCTCCCAAGTGTACCAAGCACCACTAAACCCCATGTCTTTCAGATTGCATTCTTCAAGAACATCTCTAAAATGCTCCATCTCCCTCCTATCCCCCTGTGCACCTCCTTCTCTTTCGGCATAAGATAAAATTTCGTTGAAATCTCCACCCATGAGCAAAGGAGTATTATCTTCACAAAGGCTTCGAATAAGATTCCAAGTTTGAAATTTTTCTTCTGATTTCGGCCACCCGTATATACCAGCAAAACGCCACGAAACGGACCCTTCATACCGCACTTCGCCACATATGTGGTGATGAGAAAAAAGGTGATTCGAAAATCCACCCCCTCCCTCCAATATAAGCACATTCCACCAGATTTTCCTCAACTAGAAACGCCAAAAGCTCCCTGAAAACCGAGCGTACCCCTGAGATTCTCCACCATAGTTTCAGACAAAAAAAGTAACCCCGGGCTATGTTTATGGCTCCATTTTCGAAGCCGATGAACTGATCGGGGCCGTGATTGCCCATTCCCCGACAGGTCCAAGCTAGAATATTCATTGGGTTTGGCGAGGTTGGTCATCACCAACCCCCGCCAATGGTCCCACACAAGTCGCAAGATTTGTGTAAATTATTTTCTTCGAGATATGATCACTATCATCACCCTCCAACGCCCCTTCTCTACCCCTTTTTCCTCCAGCAGCAGTATCAAGGTTGGAAACACCCCCACCCCGCTCCTAGCAAACTTTTTCCACTTTCTCATCCCTCCCTTCGAAGCATCAGGTCCCTTTTCACTTACCTCTGCATTGCTCGCTGCACCCTCATCCTCCAATCCCCACTCCACAGATCTGTTGAGGCAACCTCAACTTCCTTTTCACCTGGTACTAAACTCCCCTGTCCTTCAGATACATCAGCAATTTAATTGTGGGGTTTTGTGTTTTGATTCTCCTTGGTTTCAAGGTCTGAAATAACCTTATTGTCAAGGGATACAACTTGCAGCTTCTCTACGACTTCACCAATATCCTCTGCCTCCTTCCTCGGCAGAGATTGTGTTTTGGTGACAAACAATTTTTTTGCAGCCTTTCCCAACTGATTTTCCTCGATTTTTTCATCAATTTTTGAGGCTTTCCATGGAGTGGAAACACGCAACCTCTCACTGAACTTTCTAGCAACAAAGACATCATCACAGTCCTTCTCTCCATGTCCTAGCATCCCACAAACATAGCAGAAAACAGGTAATTTTTCATACTTTACCGGTACTTCAATACTACCTCTCCCAGTTTTGATTTCCACCTTACTCATCAACGGTTTTTCTACATCAACAAGAATTTTCATTCTCAAGGATTTATTTATGCCAATTGCATCAGATTTGTCCATTGTCAAGAAAGTCCCAATTTTATCTCCCAAACGTTTTGCATAGTTTTCATTGTTTCCACAACTAGAAATAGGCTAAATTCCGACGAAAAAATTCCGTCAGATCACCCTGAAATCCGTCGGAAATAGGGTTTCCGACGGAATTCTGTCGGAAGAGGTTGTAGGAAAAATGAACTTTTCCGATGAAAATTCCGTCGGAAACACTATTCCGACGGAATTTTCCGCCGGAAAAATATTTTCAGGTACTGCAACAATCCGTCGGAAAATTCCAACGGATTCAATTCCGTCGAAAATTTTCGACGGAATTTCGTCGGAAATTGCTTTTCTGAAA